AACCTATTTAATTTGGGATTACAATGGAATACAGTCTTCCTCTAATTCAATATTCTTGATCACACTGTTTGGTTGATAGTTTATTCATGTCTACTATCCAATGTGATTCTCTTGTCTAGATGATTACCTTAAGGTAATGTAGAACGACTTCCGAAATCTCATTCATACTTTGGCCAGAGATTCTTAATCATGTCATCGAGTATTCTCTCACAACTGTTTGAAGGTTAGAGATCCCTTGTTGTATATTCACATGCCCACATGATTAAGTAACTTAGCCGCAACTATGTCATGGACAATCTCAAATGGAATGCGTTTAACGAAATCAAAGACTAAGGACCTAATTGTGACAACTATGATGTCTCAAGTCAAAATACTACTTTACATTATCCTAACCATGAGTTCTCATGTAACTTGAGTATGAGCACCTGCATAATTGTCTTGGCGTCATTCATACCAATGACTCAGGACCAGTAATCTTCTGGGAGAGAAGACACAACATGTATTGATATATCTGAATCGTTAATGCCCAATTGGAATTCTATGATCAGGAACGGTTAGGATATGTGTATGAAATAGAAAGGTCTTATGAATTTTACTTCTTTAGATCACATTCTCTTAATTACATATTCCTTAGACTTATCATTTAAGCGTATAAAATTTAATGAGAAGGCTTTATACAATAATCTTTGCCCTCACATTAAACTTCATTAGTTTAATTTGTGAAATGTTCATAAACTATCATCTTGTAATTGGCTTTAGAGTATATTGCCAACAGTTGGTTAATGCACCAATACACTTGCCTATTGCCTACACGGTCGCACCACCATGATTATCTGATTAAGTGGATTCGACTGGATAATGTTTGAGAGTTTACGTCGCTGACTTTCAACCATTATTGCATGTCCAATCAAATTTAAGTTGAACATCTCGTACCCTACGTTAATTGCCAAAATGGCTAAGCAGAAGTGTCCATAAAGCGCCTCCAATTGATTGCTCAGACCTTGGTCATGCATACCAAGCTTTCGAAATTTGCTTGGGGCTATGCAATTTTGCAAGCAGCTATGCTGGTTCATCCAAATCTCTTCACTGTTTCACTTGGTTATTAGGTACAAGCCTGATGTCTCGCACTTACATGTGCTTGGGTGTTCAGTTTATGTGCTAACACCGCAACCACTATGTACCAAAATGGGTCCCCAAAGAAAAATGAGAATCTATGTCGGTTATGATTCATCATCCATTATTCGTTATTTAAAGCCCTTGATAGGCGATCTCTTTACTTCTCATTTTGCGCATTGCCACTTCGATGAAATAGTCTTCTCTTTGTTATAGGAGATAAGAACGTTAGCTTTCCTAAAGAATGCCTCGAATTGTCATGGATTAACCCCGCTATTTCTCATGTAGTTCCACACACTACTTAAACCATGTCGGATGCTTTTAACGGTCTATACGAGATCACTTATACTTGTTGCAAGTGTGCTTGGAAGGATTGATGCTTTTACCCTGAAGCATGGCAGACTTGTTAGTTCAAAGGATTCTCAACCTCGGAAGGGGAAAGCCACGACACAACCTAGTTAAACTAGTTTGAATACTACCATCGCTTACTCAACCATTCCAGCACATGAGGTTATTCTAGAGTATGGAAACATCCTTGAAGAAATGGATCCGTCTCTCAAGAATCGTGAGATTTTAATCCATTATGATAGCTTGGATGACGTTTGGAATCGGAATGCGATGATAGTCGACGATGCATTTACATACACAGTAGCTACTGATGTCATGTTGAGCGATGACATTGAACTGTGTTTTATTGATGAATGTCGATGTATAACTAATTGGTCATATTGGAAACAAGCAATCCCAGATCGAAATTGATTCACTTCCAAAACAGTTTGGGCCCGTAATTCCTACACCTCCATATTTGATGTCGGTTTCTACAAGTGATTTTTTTTAAGGGAGTATAATGAGAAGAATAAGATAGTGAGATAGTGCAATATAAGGCACACATCGTGGCGCAAGGCTTATCTCAACACCCTGGAATTTGGTTATAAGGAGGCGTATTCCCCTATAATGGACGTCATAACATTCTGCTACCTTATCAATTTGGTAATTTCCGAAAAAATTGAATATGCAGCTTATGGATGTGGTAACCCCATATCTCTATGGGATCTTAATACGGAAATCTACATGAAAGCTCCCGAATGACTTACATTGGCTAGATCAAATAGTTTAGACCACCGAACACCTTCTCAATTAGATTGAGGTGTCCACTCTACGAATTGAAACAATTTGGGCGGATGAGGTATAATTGTTTAAGTGGGTACCTGATTAGTAAGACATATGTGAACAATGAAATATGTCCATGCATGTTTATTAAGAAGTCACATTATTCCGGATTTACTATCGTTGCAGTTTATGTCGATGACATAAATCTCATTAAGACTCCTAAAGAGCTTGAGAAAACTTCCTCGCACCTAAAGTGGGAATTTGATATGAAAAATCTAGGGAAAATTGGTACGGTCTCGGCCTGGAGATCGAATATTGTTCGGATAGTATTCTAGTCCACCAATTGAACTATACTCAAAAGGTATTGCAACACATTAATGAGGATAGATTGAAGTCTTTGAGACTTCTATGGTTGTCTGAACAGTAGATGTAAAACGAGACCTTTGTCATCCTAAAGACGATAAGGAAGAGGTTTTAGAGCCTGAAATTCTGTACCTGAGTGCAATTAGCATTTTATTTTACTTAAATTACATCATTAGACTGGACACATCGTTGTTAATCATTTAGCAAGATATAACAACGTGCCTACATGCAGGCACTGGATTAGTGTTGAAGACATCTTTCATTATCGTAAAGGTACTACAAATTTGGGCTTGTTCTATCACTATGTATCCCTTAGGGGAGTCGCTGCCCCATCGACCCTTGAATTGATGCTCGCCTTGTTCGTTAAGTTGACGCATGCATGTTATTTATTTGACCCATACAAGACACGTTCTGAAACGGATTATATCTTTACCATTGGAGACACCACAATATATTGAAGGTCAACCAAACACCTTAATTAAGACTTATTTGAACCGTGCTGAAATTCTTGCCCTACATGAAGCTACTCGTGAATGCTTCTGGCTAAAAGCAGTTATTGAGCATATTCAAAGCACTCGCGGAATTTTTTTTGGTGTTGACGTCCCTATAATGATTTATGAAGATAACGTCACCTGTATTAACAAGATCAACAAAGGTACATCAAAGAAAACAACACCAAGCATATTGTGCCGAAAGTTTTATTCTCACATTAACAATAAGAGCATCAGAAAATTACAGTTAAGAAAATTCGTTCCTAGGACAACCTTACCCACCTCCTCACGAAGTCACTGCCAAAGTTTACTTTTCAAAAGCTTGTTCAAGGAATTGGTATGCGTAAATTGCTAAGTTGTAATGCTTTAGTTCTCATTTAGAAGTTTTTTCAAACTCAAGGAGAGTATTTAGAAGTATACTCACCTGACCTTAATATACTCTTTTTCCATACGATGATGAGCATTTTTTCCACTGGATTTTTGCTACCTGACTAAGTTTTAACAAGGCACCCTTCATGAGCTGGTCACACCCTTGTGTGCACTCTAATTGTGTCCTAAATGCATTTAGTCTTGACTTAATGCAACTTCTCATTTTTCTCCTTAGACTACAGGTTTTATCCTACCATGGGTTTTATCATAGCGAGGTTTTGTGAGTTTTACTCTTTATGCATTCTTCTGTTTGGTTTGAGATCAGATGAGAGATCAATAGATGAATAATAACATGGTTATTTTTATAGATAGAGTGATATTTGAATATATTGATAATAGAGTTGTCATGCAAACGCTTTCAAAACATGAAAAAGCGCACAGAGATATTGTAATATGTTGTATGAAAAACCTTGTATATTAATACACAAGTGTTTTGTTTAGTAAATTCTTAAACTTTTTAATTTGTGACTTTATTGTTCGAGGATGTCCTCATCTATACAGATCTCAGGCTTCGTTCCTACTCGCATTTGCTCATTATGCGGAGTAGACGAGACAACTTCATCAACTTCTTCTACATCATCCACGAAGATCTGATGCGACATCTACTTGAGTATTTACACACTCAAGAGGAGTGCGTGACATAAAATTCTAGTACATGTGTGATTGTGTAAATCATTAGCAGATTGTATTTGGGATATTATAAGATCTTATTCCTTTAGGATTGTATTAATTGCAAAGCAAGAAATCCTTCTTAGTTTACTATAAATAAAGGCACATGTGATGGAATGTACACATCACAGAAATTCCCCAACTCCCTTTTTCTCTCTTTGCCACGTATTTCAGTAAAATATGTCACAAGAACTTGAACTTTTCTAGTTTTAGCCATTTAGGATTACAGTCTAGTGATATTCTTTTTTATTTAAATCAAATTATTATGGCTAGTCTATTGTGAGGTTTAACTCATTTCCCATTCATAAGGTAGATAAAATTGTATAGATTAAAAAATTCACTGAGTTTCATGATGGCCCCTTTTCAAGGGCGTTCTCATACTTTCTCACATTTTGTTGCCTCCGTTTAAACTATGAATTCAAATGGTTAATTGTGAAACAATATGAAGCCTTTGTGAATATTCTCGAACGGAATCAATGTTTTGAGACTTCCTTTTCACCCTTTGGAATAAATTGATACAAAACAAAAAACAAAAAATAACACACCACTTTCTAGCAATGGCTAGCTAGCAGTGCACCCAAATGGGCAAATTAGGCTTTGACTATCAACTGTATTATATAAGAACCAATATTCAAGACAACACTTGAACAGATGAAATGAAAGTTCATTCATTCATATTTTATTATTTACAACGTCATTTCCTTCAAATGAACGTCGCTGCATAAAGTCAACTCCAAAATCCAAAAGTAACATATGATGTAGCAGCTTAAAGAGAAAATTTTCATTTAGCTCAAAATACGGGTGGTATGCCACATGACGTTATACGAGTGGAGGAACGTTTTATTTTTTATATTACTAGTTTTTTAACACAAGTATCTCAACATTTGTATAATAACACATGATATATTATACTGTGTTTCGAGCACATTGAAAAACCTCTCTAGCTTAAGGGAATACACAAGCATGACCAAGTTCTACGCTCTTAGATGTTGGACAAGTAGACAATTTACAGTGGTCATAGTCTTGTGTACCCCACCAAGAAATGCTTACCTCGTTTATGGTTAAACATATGTATATAAGCACCCCCATAAAAGCCACTCCAGCATCTAGGGCAGCAGAAAGAACATAATTGTACCTCTGCCACCACTTCTTTCTGTATCTGAAAACAAAGTAATTGAAAACGATTCCGACCACAATCCAGCTGTTAAAGTTCACAGTTGTAGCTGGTGGCATCACGGCGGTTGATCCGAAAAGCACTGGAAGGTTGATGTAGGCGATCCATTTCTGTCTGGGGAAAGCTTTGTGAAACAACCATACTATGACAGGTCCGAGTGCACCTACCACGAAGAACCAGTTGAGTCCTCCGTAGAGTCCGAGGGAACCGAAGATTCGTTTCGGTCCAACGAGACCCCAAATCACAGATGCATTGAAGAAGACACTATCACCAGGACAAGTCCAAGGACTAGTGTCAGGGAGTAATTCAGTATTGCATATATTTTTCACTGTAGTTAGAAGCCACCATGCTGTCCCAATATTGACGGTTCCGGCTACTACAGTTCCTACGCACTTTATAATGGGAGGAAAAAGAAAATTACAAAGCAAGAGTTAGATGGTAGCTTAATATTTCTACAGCGTAGCATTTCAACTAGGAAACAGATTATTGGTATCGAATACTAATTTACAATACCTAACATGTACACTGTTGGTATTAATTTGGTAAGATATATTGTCAGACATTCATGTTGGTACGTGATAATATCAAAAATAAAATAAAATAAAATAAAATCCACATTCTTACCAGATACTGTAGACTTGTATATGATCGATACTAATTCATGTTATAATACCACTTTAAACACGCACATCCAATTCATGTTATAATATATATACATGTGCATGTTGTCGAGAGTTATTTGCTGGTACAAATAGTTTTATTGGTGTTCATTTTTATTATACATGTATAAAATCTGATTCAGGTAATTTGAATAAGTGGAATACACAATATTTAGTTATTTACTAAATTTAATTAATTTATAGTATGATCGTATCCAATAAGTAAATTGTACAAGGAGAAGAATATATATACATACCTGAACTAAGAACATGGATATGGGCGGAATCTTCATGTAATGGCCTAACTTAAAATCACTCAAAAATGAAATTGCCTGTGCCATACTAATGTATCCATATGTTTTGAAGCATACATTGGCTATGGGATAGCCAGGCAATATCAAACCCATGACGTACTCCGTGATGATGTTTAGTCCCGGTGTCTAAAAAATTAGAAAAGAAATGAGATTCTTAGATTCATGATCTCAAATTATGGATCATGGATATGGATGCATTTTGCTCACCACCCTCAAGTGGTGTAAATGTTTACCACCCTATATCACCGTTGGATAAGTTTAAACTTTGAGATTTGTGTCTATCCACTGCATAGATCTCGAAATTTAAACTTATCTAACGATGATAAATATGATGGTAAGCAAAAATAGTCCCCATATATATGTGTGCGCACATCTATTACAAAGTGTATCAAGACATTAATCTTATGTCTCCGTAGCAAAACTGATTTTTGCAAAAAAAAAAAAAAAAAAAAAAAAGAAATTATTAATTTATTATAAAGAGAAACTAAGAGTGTAAAAAATTAATATCCAGTATCAATGAATTATTGCAACAAGTGTGACCAAAAGAAGGATCGAGGTTCAAGAGTTCAATACTTACCACGTTTGTTGTGGCAGTTATTATGCTGATTGGAAGGGTGAAAATCAATGCAATTCCTGCAGCAAAAATGAGTCCCCACCATGGCATTTGCACCTCATCTTTCATGAAAATGCACAATGCTAGAGAGAGTACCAACGACACCACAAGCAAAATATGAAACCACCAGCTGGGTATGTCCCTGTATTTCCTCATTAATTTGGTGTGTATATCTATCTTTCCACTATATGACGATTGGTATCGTTCATATATGTCCCTGTTAGAAGAATGTCATTCATATTACTGTCACAATTAGAACTAGTACAGTACATTTATCTTCCCAAAAATAAATAAAAAATTATTGAAAGTTTGAATCAATAGAGGACAATTCGGGAACCTTGTATGTATATAATTAGAGAAATGCTAAGGAGCCTTGAGGCTCTCCATGAACTTTTCGACATTCTACATTTTTTACACAATATTTTATAATGTTAGCACGCGAACTATGCCAAAAACATGATGTGGCGGAGAGTCCTACTTTTAAAATAGTCTCCTTAGCATTTCTTATGTAGTTATAAGAAGCTAAATCACTCTCCATATTACTAATTGAATTTATGGTGGAACATTCTTTCAAAAATTAGATTGATATTTTTATAAAACAATTTTTCATTACAAATAAGCACTAAAATTGAATTTGGATTTTGATCCTTTAATTAGGTACATTATGTGAATATGCTATGCAGGTAGAGAAGGAGACATAGGTACAGTCGTTGGTACATTTTACCTGTTAGTGTACCAACATACGAATATGAACTTACAAATGCACCTACAAAATACTCAAAATAATACCCTAATTCAAGGGTCAAATCAAAAATTCAATCTCATACTTGGGCTTAAGTAATTAAACAATTATATCTTAAGATGAAAACCCAAACTATAACTCAATAGAAAACAAAAATTGAACAAGGTATAAGAGACGGTTATTGACACTTTAAAATAGTTGTCATACTGATACACTATATATATATATATATATATATATATATATATATATTATTGTATTGATAATGAAGTGATAAGTATTGCATAATGACTATTTTAATGACAATGAGAACTACCCACTTAAGGGTTTGGATAACTCTATTTGTGAAGTAATATTATTTAGACACGAGCACACTCTGCAAATACAAATAGGTTCCACATAAAATGATAAGACACACCTTTATTAGAAATTGTTTCAGCGTGTTAACTTTTTGTGCTTCTATTTGTGTGTAATGTTAAATAAATAAAAACACAAATCATGAGTAAACTTAAGGTCATTTAAAGTATTTACGTACCTTCCATTGAAGAGAGCCACATGAGCGAGGGTTGATACAACAGCAGCAAAACCAAGGCCATATGTTAGGGCAAAGAATACACTCAGGTTTATGAATCCTTGTTTTTTATAGGCAGGCATGTCAATCTGAAACCGGTCATTCACAATGCCTTTGACATTATATATTTGGCCGTCGGAATCAAACAAGTGCGAAGAGAAGATTGCAAAATTCTTTGCATTGTACAAGTTGAGCTTCCAGTATGAAATTGGAATGACGACGTACATGATGATGATGTATCCGACGGTGATATTGACAATGGCAAAGAAGGGGCTGATCAAAGGGCTCCCCAAGTAAGAGGATATGACCGACCAATCTAGGGTAAATGCCCCAACGCCAAGCCCACGGAAGCCTGAGCCAATTTGCTGAGCTCTTATGGACTTAGGGTAAATCCAACAGATCCATGAAATTATTGAGAGGGTTGTGAAGAGGTAGCCCGGCACTAGGTACCAAGAGAAGCTGCACACCAGTGCTATCAAAAAGAATTTCCCTCTCGACATTCGATTGTTGTCTTTCTCATGCAGAGCCCTTCATGTTCATGCATATTGTACGTAGAAATCAAAGTCAAATAACAATTCATAAATATATATTGTCTTAAAACCGCAATAAAATGCATTGACATTGCAAGAACATTGGCTTCCTTAAAAAGATGAATTATTTTAAAGGGGATTTTAACGAAAAGTCCACGGTACTGTTTACTTTAACGAAAAACGATATTTTTACACTAAAAAGTCAATCCTGGTACTATTCACTTTACCCTTTATTTTGTTCTTATCGTTAAAACTCAAAGTTTTTAAGTCATTTTCATTAGTTTTCCTTATTTTAAAAGGCATATGAGCATCATGTCACATCCCAGACCGGCTCTGCCATAGCACGATATTGTCTGCTTTGGGCCCTGGCCACGCCCTCACGGTTTTTTTTTCTGGGAACTCACACGAGAACTTCCCAATGGATCACCCATCCTAGGAATTGCTCTCTCAAACTCGCTTAAGTTCGGAGTTCCAATGGAACCCGAAGCCAATGAATTCCCAAAAGGCCTCATGCTATAGGGAGGGGAGCATGTACATATAAGGCACATCACTCTCTCTCCGTTGGTCGATGTGAGATGTTACAATCCACCCCCTTTAAGGGCCCGACGCCCCCGTCAGCACATCCGCACCGAATGACATAGTCGCTCTGATACCATTCCATCACATCCCAATCCGGCTCTGTCATAGCACGATATTGTCCGCTTTGGGCTTACCATTCCCTCACGGTTTTGTTTTTGGGAACTCACTAGTTTCGGATTCCATCGGAACTCCGAAGTTAAGTGAGTTCGGGCGAGAGCAATCCCAGGATAGGTGACTCACTGAGAAGTTGCTTGTGAGTTCCCAGAAACAAAACTGTGAGAGAATGGTAAGCCCACCGGATAATATCGTGCTACGGCGAAGCCGGACTAGAATATGACACATCAAGTAGGAGCTAAATAAATATGCATATATAAACTAGCTACCTACTAATTTATATACAATGTTTTTGAAAAAAATAATTTACACCAACGAATTGAAGATTTAAATGAAGCCACACAATGTCAAGCAATATAAATTGGTGTCAAAATTATCATCTACGAAAGACGAACTTAAGACCTCTACTTAAGTACAAGTTAAGAGAAATTCTATGAACAAAAAATAAACTAATATACAGGCAAGCTCTAGGTACGCTTCCGCTAATTAATATTCTTATATATGTCAATGTAATAGTTTGTATTTGATTTAAAATAATATATCAGTTTACCTTTTGATATGAAAAAAAAAATTACACGCATTATTTGTTTACCCTATAATATTGTTTATCAAATAATAAATACCCTTACAAAAATTCTAAAAATACAAAAGTCCTTTTCTTTCTAAACTCCTATTGAATCATTGACCTTCAAATTTAAGTTTTTCTTTGTTGGAGGTTCAGCCCCATTGTAAACCACACAACAACAAAAAATGATACGTATTCTAGGGATCCGTGTAAATTTGTACTACCCGTACGTACGACTATATATCCCATTAATTCAATAAATTATATTTTTATGACAAATAATGCAGACAAACAGTTGTTACATCGTAAAATATGCAGTTGTTGCACAAAAATATAGTCTCTCAATATTTTTGTTTTCCATTACATGCATGTACCAAATTTGTGTGTACCATTATGAATGTATGCACCAAATTTGTAAACTCTTTATTTTCATTATGGAAAGAAATCTAGCAAATATACACACATGTCAAAACCTTACAAAATATTTTCCTTGAGTATAATTTTTCAAGGAAATGAGTTGTGCACTCATTCTCTACATTTTTGTTCGTTGTCGTTCATTTTTTGCCCTTGATTTATAAAATGCAAGAATTAAATAGGATTGTGTAGAAATAAAAAAATGTATGAAAATCAATTCTCTCTTGTAAATATGTACGGAGATGGAATATACCAATAACTTATTGAATCTGTCACACAGAATTGAAATTACAATTTCCTTTTATGATAAATTACCTGAACAAAGAAACCTGAACGAGACTGCTAGGCCACCACATCGCGCCCGGATCCACCACGTACTTTCTGATAATACCAGCCCACCCGTACCCCAATACCTGCAGTACTTATTTACCATAAATTTAGCATTTAACCCCCTCACTCCCACAAATTTACTTATATTTGTAGTTAATTACTACTAATATAATGAGCGATACTGTCATACTAGAGAGACCATTAACTCGAACCATGTTTTATAGATCACGTGATGTGGCAATTGACGATTGGATTCTTGTTTAAATCATTAAAGTTATCCAACCATTAAGCGTCACTTCCCATAGAGAAATTAGGTTCCCATCCATATTTTTGCTACTTCATTGATTAAAACCTTATTCATTTTCAATTTTTGATCAAGGTCCTTAGGTTTTAATAAACGTCATTAATTATTTTAATAATAAAATATTTTTTATTTCTAAATATATTCATTTGGTGTTAGAAATGTTACATTTGGTATATTTATATTTATGGCTAAACTTTTATTATATATTTTTATTTTTAGTTTGTACCCATTTTTAATTTGCAACGCTTTTCTAATTTATACCAATTTTCTTTTCAGTTTTAATTTGTCCCATATATTACTTTCTTTTTGTGCCATATTTTTTTAAAGTTTTATCTGTATTTGTACCCATATTTTTAAATTTATTTATACCCATTTTTAATTGTGCTAAATTTACCCATGCTAATTATATGTATTTATTTTGTGTTTTAAAATATATCAGTAGTTATTTTTTAAAATATGTTAATGTGGGTACATTATTTTCCTGCTATAATTTTGTGAAGGAGAATATTACTCTAATATTTATTTTTAAGTATTTATTATATTTTGAAAATATTATTTGAATTTGTTTAAATTTCATAATTTGTGGGACATTAAATGGATAATGCATGAGTTAAATCTCTTAAATGATGTTAAGGACCTCGATTAAAATATTTAAACAAACAAGAGTTTAGTCTAACAATGAGATTGATTAGGGACTGAAACCAAAATGACCCAAATATAAAACATGATCACCGGATAGCATTTTCCAACAATTTTTTCCTAATCTAATAATTATCTGCATGCAGTATATGTACGTACCTGTGTGGTAATCACAAGTGCCCAACTTGCAAAGAAGGATATCTTCCTACCGTAAAACGCTTTGATTATAGTCACAATATTAACCGCATACGCCGGTCCGCTACCAAACCCGGCTCCGGCGTTTGCAAATATCGAAATCAGCACGTGCTCTTTTACGTTAAATTCCCCCGGGTTCAACGAGTATGACTTCCCACGAATCCAAACCTTTCTCCTCGGCAGCGCCCTAGCCATGAACCGTCCGATCGGCAGACTCGCCACCTGCACGGAGATCATCGATATCACGAGCGGCTCCGTGCGGTAAGAGAAGAAGGTGTTGAGGAATGAGAGTAGAATGCACGAGAGCATGCCTATAGTCCACATCCGGAACGTCCATACCGGGAGGGAACTGTCGTCCTCGTTGGAGACCGTTAGTCGGACCTGCTCAACTGATGACACGTCATCGTCGTTCTCACTCTCATCGAGCTTAGTTTTAGCAGCGGCCTCCACTTCTAGGGTGGTGGCCTGGGTGCCCATGGGGGAAGAGAGGGATGGAGAGTAGAGAGGTTTTTTGGAGGCAGTATGTGTGTCAAGGGTTTGGCTGGTGAGTGTCTGAATGGAAAATGAAGGGTTTTTAAAAGTGCATTTACAGTTTATTTACAAATTTTGCCATTTTGGATTTGGTCATCGACATTGGTTGCCGGCCGGTATTGACAAGAAAGACATAAAGGAGTGACGATTCCAAATTAAATAAATTCCGTTTTGATGTGGACATTATCGATACTTTCATCTTTACGATACTAATTAAGCAAACGAACAAAGAAATTAAGGTCTCATTTGATATTACTTTTTTCATCAAAACTGCTTCACTTTAAAAAGCAGAGTTGAACTTTAATGAATATTCTTAATTCATGTAATAGTAATACCCTCATTAATTGTTAAACTTGACATTTCTTTGTACATACTTTTAAAACTTAGAGAACAAAATGACCACCTACCAATACAACCACTAATCTTGCATCACCATTGCCATTATCACCATAATTGTTGCCAACGAAACTGCAACCACCACTACCCCCACCACAACCACAACCATAATCGCAACCACTACCACCACAGCCACAACGACTAAAACCACCACCATAGTTGTTGTTAACATCGTCATAATTGTAACCATCGCCGTCACCACCATCACAATCACTACCATTACTACAACCATAACCTCCACCATAACCACCCCTATTGCTATCACTGCCTCTACCACCATTATAACCTCTGCACCCCTAACCACCACACCCTTTTTTTTTTTTTTTTTAGTACATCGATATTTTTACATTAAGGGGAGGAGGAGTTTGGCAAAGCCACACAATAGGTAGCCTAATTTGGTATCGAATTCTCCATCCACGAGATTCGAACCTAAGACCTCTCACTTTCAAGTGAAGAGAAATATTAGCACTACTAATCTACCATAACAATTGTTGTTGCCACCATCACTATCGCTAGCCCAACTCACCACTGCCATTACTACTGTCATTGCCATCTCCACCATTGTTGTCGTCATTGCTTACGACTGCAACCACCAGCATTACACCACATCACCACCACCATCATTGCCACTGCCAATAACACACAATCGCCACCACCGCTGCCACTACTGTTACCTTTACACCCAAACCATCACACCCTATTATTCGCACCACAACCACACCCCCACCATTGTCATTGCCATCATCGCCACTACCCTTAACACCGCTGTCATTGCCACCACCCTACTATTATGTCTATTTTTGTCATTATACACAATTATGTCACTTTTACAATGAAAATTACCAAACGGTTTTACGTTGTTTTTCTTACTAACAACACTTTTAAAAATACAGTTTATCAATGCTCAACTGCTTTATTTTTTAGATGATTATTCTTAAAGACAACAGAAGCAATTTTTTAAAAAGCACAACAAATCCAAGCTGGCTCTAAGTCGAGTAGATATGTCTGATAGAACTCATATTGAGCTATAGTATATATGAATTTGAGTTTTTTTATTAGAGATTGCCAAAGGATGTAGCAATTGAGTAGCAAATTTAGATATGCTATGTCATGTAGGAAAAACATTTTTCAATAAAGGTAGTGTTGGAACCAAATCTGCATTACTGTTGTCAGTTGTGGAGATGCACAAATCCAAATACTTGTTAAAGAACAACCAGTCGTAAGCAAGCCAAAGGCCGAGGAGTGTGTCGGTCAAAGGCTCTTCGACGATGAAGTTAGTAAGCAATATTAAGACCCAAACAATGGGCAAACGAATAAGTATGCAAGAATTGCGTTACTAGAGATGAACCCTAGTGGTGTATTTATACCAGTCGAGGAGATGACCTTTTAGGATAGTAGAATCATTATTAAATTGGAAGAATCTCAGAGGATATCTAGGAAGTATATATTGCATCCTCTTAGGAGTGTGATTACTTGCGACGCAAGCTAATACTTAAATTGTAAGGACTCTAATATTATAGGAAATCGTTGATTCCTTGTTAGATTAGGTTTGTGTTTCTTGCAGAACAAGCATGGTCAATCACAGCAAAGTCTGACGACTTTGCTCACTGATTCTGGAACATGATGATGGAGGCATTGCTGCTCCGTTTATTTAACTCCACAGCAGAGGCTATTGATTTCATGACCCAACTTCTAAGGTATCTGTATTTTGATCCGCCTTACTCCTGCCCTAGTAAATCATGGTCCCACTATTACTCCTAACTATGTTTCTGAAAGGACTTGTTCCCTTTGAGGATAGATAGTTATCCAAAGATCATGTCTTTCAAAGTAAGTGAGAATACATACTGCTTTAATTCTTTTGACGCATGGCGTTCTGGCTTTGATCTTTGTGAACTTTGTGAATGTTGAGTCATTCCGTATTTGGGCTAATTAGCTCGCGAATCCTCCACCAATATCACAATGATGAGGATTGTCTTTCTTTGTGTACGCATAAGATAAAGCTCAGTCCATTGCTTTCTCCCGTTAAATTTAGCCATCAAATTTGTTGATCTCGAGATGTGACGATCCGTATTCAACGGTAGGATGATTGTAAAATATATTCTTTAAACATCCTCGGATCTCTTCATTATCTTTTCCAAAATTACCAGATTGCTTCTGTTCAAAAGGCGTTGAACTTTCTTCCGCACTTTCGATTAAAATTCTTCGATATTCTTTTATTTTTATCCCAAATTTCTCCAAACTTTCTTCAATGGCTACTCCTTTAAACTTCCTCCCCTCGCTGCCAACTACGACTCCTAGTATAAACCTTCGATGGTCAGGGTGCGCAGTAAAGATCAGGGTGAAGTTTTCGCCCACCTCCATCAACATCCTCTGAATGGTTACATCATACGATGGGAGGTTGGTCACAACGTTCAAAGTCCCCTGCCTACACCTTCTAATCCTTAATGCTCTTGTACCATTTTTCATCCTTGGTACTTGGATTTGGGACTGAAGTTTCCACTTTCCCCATTGCTAAAGCAAGTCTTGAACTGTTACATCATTGCTCTTTGTAATCTGACTTTGATGTCATTTTGTATCCTTACCTGTTTCAAACTCTTAAACGAAAGGCACCAGGCAGATTTTGGCATTCAGGAATTCCTAATGCTTTAGACCATGCGCAAGAGTATTGAACCTCATAACTTTTTCCAATCATGACCAAGTGCTAGGTAGGCCACCTACATTACTGAGTTACCACGCCATGACAAGAATTGGTACAAGGATATTCTGGTTGTGGACGACAATTGGAAATGTGACATCTCTGGGATCCAAGTTTGGAATACCCCTTATACTAGTCTTTGATGCAATAATAATGTTGGGAGCATCCGCCAATATCGTCCTCAGTTGATCGAAAGGGCATTCAAGATTATTCCCCTTGCACATCGAAATTAGAAGTGGCTTATAACTCCAGAAAGAGTCAAAAAGAATGTGAGGAACGCCATCACAAATCTCTATTCCAACCTTCTCGTTAAAGACTTAGTATGGGTTAATGTAGTGGATACCAAAGACGGGAAAGATTTGGTGAGAGCTCTGTAAGCCCAAAAATCTAAAAAAAAAGAAGAAAAAAGAGAAAACATCCTAAGGTTGTCCAACAAGACCAGGGACTGAAACCTTCTAGGAAGAAACCCAACACAACGAGGAGTTCTAGTGTTCCTCTAAGTGATAACATGTTCGAAATCCAAGACCCCACCCTTTTCAAACTAAAGCTAATTAAGGTCAGGAGTAGCAAATGTTGGTGATTAGAGATGAAAGGGAACAAATGTTTTATGGAGGCAAAGGTTTCCCCAATGCCTCTGGTGTCCAGACTTTTTCTGTCGTGGAAGTGGAACAATAGCTACAACAACAAAAACAACTAAACTAGCAACAATAGTAGCAACAGAACCAACAACAAGAGTATCAACATAACCAATAACAAGACCAATAACAAGAGCAGCAATAGTAGCAATATGATGACTTTGACAACGCCTTTGATTGACAGGTGGCCCTTGATCAACCACCTGACCTTATCTCTGGATAGAGACGGTCACAATTGGTTCAGTCGAGCTCATCCGGAATAGTCATGGGGGTGAGACATTCTCCCCTAATAATAAAACTCGTCTACATATGCGAGATAATGGTTGTCACAACGTGAAGCATGCCCAAGCCTTGACCGTTCAGCCATTTCTCCAACTAACTTAAGAAGGTAATTTTTTAGTCTGATTGTGTGGTAAAAAACAGCTGCCAAAGCCGATATGTGATAAGTCTTCTTTGCTTCCCTTTAACCTGTCATTCTTCCTCAAATTCCCATATCTAATTTGTCAAGAATATCTCACACTAGGCTAATGTTGGACATAGGCCCCACTTTGAAGTCAGACAGACAAAATCTCCAAAACGGAGGCTACTTACAAATGCGAACTAGGTCATTGAATCCAATTGGAGAGGTAGCTGCAACAGAGGAATTCAGATTAAGAAAACGTCTAGCAAAACAGATGGAGGTAGAGCGTTCCTGGTGAAACGAGGGGGATGACTTGATTGAGCGACTGGGCCACGAAGAAAAGAGGCTAACGACTTGGCTGCACAAATGACCCGACTTGATGCTGCCAAGTCTACATAGTCTTTAAGAGCCAAGGATGACGCGAAGCAGAGCTCATAGGATGCTGATCAAGCCATCCTTCAATTGAAGTTAGATGAAACCCAGTAAGAGGAGGAATTGAAGAAAGAGTCACATATTGAAGCCTTTCAGTAGGCCTTGGATAACAATGAGCAGGGCTGGCAGAAGTTCGTTCATTATTTGAAGTAGCGTCAACTCGAAAGTATTCGAAGGGGTATGACCGGGGCTACGTTGTGGGCTTCGTTGGTCAAGATCATTGCGGCGGATGAGACAGTCGTTGTAAACTAACAAAGATACAAAGGGCGAAATTCTGAAAACATGATCTTTTAGCAGATACAGAAAAATAACAGTTCGGATAGTTGATATCACGTTATGATGTTTACGGTTAACTGAATATGAGTTTATGTTATACAGTTTGTAGCGATTTTATAAACTCCTAGCAATATTTTTATTAATCATAAAAATCTAAACGTCATATCAATGGTCCAATCTATTCATCT